AGGCTAATTTTCATTTTTGGGTGAACTAACCCTTTAACTGTTCGCTCCTGGTGGAATGACCTGCCCAACGCAATCTGAGCAGCTGAGTCCTTAGCCATCTTCAATAATCGGCTAAAAACACATCTCTTCCATCTTCATTTGACCCTCTAACTCTAGCACTCTCTATTCTAATTCTATTCTTTAAAAAAAACTTGCCCCTTTTAGACTTGCACTCTATTCATTTACTAGCTGATTGTTTTCTATTAAAAAACACTAGCTTCTCTAATCTTTTTGTATTCTATCTATTTGTTTTCTTTTTATTTATTATACAATTAACAAAAGGAAAAAATGTCTCTAACACTAGCTTGCTCTATTCTTTTTCTATTCTGTTTTCTTTTTATTTATTATATAATTTAAAAAAAACCTTGTTACGTGTACTGTGTTAAGCTAACTGAGATTTGTTATAGCACTTGCATATCATTGCTCTCTTGTTCATTTTGATTGCTTCCATTGTCCTCATTTGTAAGTCACTTTGGATAAAAGCGTCTGTTAAATGACTAAATGTAAATGTAATGATAATGATAATGATAATGACCTCCAGCCAGTTAAAATAATGTAAAAAATCTGCTCTTCTGACTAAAAGAGATTTCTGAAAATGACAGGGCTCAGATGGAAAGGCTTAAAAGGATATATTTTTTAAAAGATTTGAGCCTTTGGTCCACAGTCACGTAGTGTACAGATGAGAGAAATTCAACACTGTTGCTAATCTTCTAGGGAGGGACTGAAAAAAAAATTGAATGTATTTAGTATTCATATTGGTTTTGAAAAAAAAAGTTCATGTATAAAACACCACCGGTAATACTTTTGGGGTTGGTAAGATTTTTAAATGTTTTTTGAAAGAAATCTCTTATGCTCTTAAGGCTGCATTTATTTGATCACAAATATAGTAAACATAGTAATAATGTGAAATATTACTACAATTTAAAATTGCATTTTATTTTAATATATTTTAAAATGTAATTTATTCCTGCGATGCAAAGCTGAATTTTCAGCAGTGATTACTTCTGCCTTCAGTGTCACGTGATCCTTCAGAAATCATTCTAATATGCTGATTTGCTGCTCAAGAAACATTTATTATTATCAGTGTTTAAAAAAATGTGCTGCTTAATATTTCTGTGGATCCCTAATACCATGATATTTACAATCCTTTGTTAATTAAAAAGTAAAAAAAATAGCATTTATTTGAAATAGAAATCTTTTGTATCATTATAATCACTTTTGATCAATTCATTATGTCCTTCTTACCAAATAAAAGTATAGATTTCTTTAAAAGATTTCTTTCTTTTATATATTAGTCTTCAGATGGACTCTGGATGCAAAATTCAAATCTGATGACATTTCCAAAAATTATCATTTTGTGGGGCAGTCGTGGCCTAATGGTAAGACTGTCGGACTTGTAAGCCAAAGGTTGCGGGTTCGAGTCTCAGTACTGGCAGGTGGGGGGAGTGAATGTACAGCGCTCCACTTTCAATACCACGACTGAGGTGAGACCCTTGAGCAAGGCACCGAACCTGCAGCAAAAATGGCTGTGTTCACTACTCACTGCTGTGTGTGTGTGCTTGGAATGGTTAAATGCAGAGCACAAATTCCGAGTATGGGACACAATACCTGACTACACAATCACGTCACTTTAACTTTCAAAAGTAACACCTATAGTTTTGAGATGATCGAGATTTGTGCCAAAAAATGAGAAGATAATGAAGTCAGCACAATATCAGGCATGCTTTCTAGAATACGCTTTTGTGTCATTACAGAATTGTCAATGTATGCAGAGATAAACAACAAACATCAGACAAACTCACATTTTTCAGGAGGGGTTATTGTAATCGTCTGAGCTGTGAACTCTTCATCGAAATATCTGGTATCTGTCTCTGATGACACCTGAGGCTTGAAGGGAGGCATCAGCTGAGGAAGGAAGAGATGGGGATGAAAAAAAAAACAGCACCTGTTTGTGCAGATCTGACACTGCATATAGTATGGCGAGCTGGAGGGCTTGATCTAACGCCTCTGAACCGCACCTCCTCTGCCAACCATTGTGCTATTTGTGAAGGCTGTTCAAGTGACAGTGACCTATTAGTGCACTGAGACACAGAACCTCTCTCTCAACATGTACTATTAGAAGTATTTTGGTTGTGTGCACTTTTAATAAAAATTTTACAGTTTTTTCCTCAGTAAACACAAAGAACTGAATAGCACATTAAAAAAAAAAAATTGAAATGATGAACAATCATGTCTGAATTTTCTATAATGGCATCAGTGACTTAAAAACTTGCTTTTCCATGATATTGCATCCACGTAGATATTTAAAAAAAATACTGAGAGCACCTTTATGTGTAGTGGTGAAGGCATGACAGCATAAATTCTGAATTACCTTTTTATCATAGACATCCTGCCAGTCAATTCCAGCAAAGAAACTATGTCGCATAATTTCCTTAGCATCATCCGGACCTCCACCAAGTCTGACAGGAAAACAAAAGGAAGCCACATGTATTTAGTCAGAAGACAACTTATGAACTTACACTAATTAGTTCCTATCTAAATAAGTGCTGTAACTGAAGTGAAATACAGAAAGACCAGTTGAAATGCATAAAGAATATAGATCATACAGATCAATATTGTTATGACTGTTACTGGGTTAGACCTCTTATTGGGATCTTTGATGAGCAGGCCTGACAGTAGGGACTTGGCATCAGTAGAGAGGGTCCGGGGGAACTTGATGTCCTCCATTAGGATGAGCTCAAAGAGCTTCTCATGGTCCTGATTGTAGAAAGGCAGTCGGCCACACATCATCTCATACATGACCACACCGAGACCCCACCAGTCCACCGCACGGCCGTAATCATTGTCCTCCAGCACCTGAGAACAAACACACATTTGAAAACATTCCTGCATGAAAGCATTCATGACCAACCCAATAAATATCAAAACAGGTACAAGCGCATGTACACAGGTGGATCCAAAAATGTATCTGGACAATTTGTACAGAGATAAAAAAATCTAATTAAATGTTAAATATGTTAACGTGTTAACCTGTTAATCATTATTGGACAAACACTCAAAAACCTCAAAAAATATGGATGTCTCAGCACCAGTGTTGTGCAAGATTAAGAACTGAAGAATTGACTCATCAGTTCATGAGTGTGAATTTGAATTGAACACACCCCACAGGAAGCTGAATTTGAATTTTCACGACAGAAAGAGGTATTTAATGACTTGCAAATTTATTACATTTAATCCACCCATTTATCCATCCAAGTCATCTATCTATCCATACATATATCCATCCACCAATCTACCCATCCGACTGCGTCTTTCTATCCCTTCATAAGGCGTATAAACCTTCAAAAAGCTTCCTCCCCAAAACTTCAAACAAAGTTTGCCTTGACAACTGCCTCTTTTCTAGTTAAAAATAGTTCCTTTAATTAATAATAAAAAAAAAGAATCCTGTTTGCTACCTCACATCAAATTCAGGAATTGAATGGTAGTTTAAAAGGCATTCTCAAATTCAATTCTGAATGATGCAGAAGAAGAGCTAGGTAAACGTATTTCAAAATAAGTTGCTCATGTGTAACTTAACACTGAATCAATTTCATCTCCATAAGAGTCATTAGAGCTAAGAGTTCCTAAATGAATGGCAGTTATGAACATCAGTGCTAATATATGAATATCAGTAGCTGATAATGGCAGCACTTCACACACTCTTACTGTAGAGCCTCTCATCACCAAACCCATGTCAGCGTGAGCCAGCTCCGTCTCTCCTGCCCATCAGTGCTAGACTGATAAAAGCGTCTAAACATTCATTCTGCGCCGGTGTATCAGGTCAAAGATCCAGCTCAGGATATATTTGGAACCTGGAAGCACAATCCTCAAAGCCTGATAACGTTGGATCAAAGCTATGCTTTTGGGCAAGCGTCCCGGGCCCCAATTACTGAGGATGCTACACACCTTACTGGTGGCTCTTAAAGACTAGGTGGCGGAAACAAGGCGGCTGGAGTTAGTGTGCAATGTAGAGGAGCTCTTCAGAGAGGAGAGTCGTGATTAATACGTCTGACTAATGACAAGGCTGGCTGGCACAGAGCCAGTTAAGCATATGCTCAGAGTGGTGTTATAATGATGTCTCCTCTCTGATCTTTAAAAACAGGCAGACCTGCATAAGTCAACCGCAGCATTCATTACTCTGTCTGATTAGGGAGCACAATGTGAACGTCCAAGTGCGAACACAGTGCTAACAACCTCCATACAGTGAGATGGGTGTATATGACTACTCCACTTAGAAATGTCAGAGAAAATCTGAATGGTACATTGTGTGCTTTGAACTACACTAACGTTCAGAAGTTTGGGATCTGTATTTTATATTTTTACTTCTCAAGGACACATTAAATTAATTACAAGAGATGGTATAAGGACATTTATAAAGTTACAAAAGATATCTATTTCAAATAAATGCTGTTTTTTTTTTTACATTCTATTTATCAAAGAATCCTGAAACAAATTTATCAGTTTCCACAAAAATATTATGTAGTATCAACATTGATAATAATAAAAAAAAAGTACCAAATCAGCATCTTAGAATGATTTCTGAATGATCATGTGGCACTGAAAACTGGAGTAACAGCTCCTAAAAATTCTGCTTTGCTATCACTAGAATAAATTACATTTTAAAATATATTAAAATAGAAAACAGTTCTTTTAAATTGTAATATTATTCTACAATATTAATGTTTTTTTACTGTATTTTATCAAATAAATGCAGCTTTGATGAGCATAAGAGACTTAAAAAAAAAAAAAAAATGTACCAATCCCAAATTTTAAACGAGAGTGTATGTTATTTGAATGAATAAATAAATGTCATATCAAATGTGCTGAATGGTACATTTTGCATTGTTGATTTGAACTATATTACTTGACGGAATTATTATTTATTGTATTTATAACTAATAATTAATTATTTACACAACATGGTTATCTTTTATCATATTTCCATGGCAGCTGCTTCATACAGTGAAGTTCACATGCATTAAGTGCCATCCAAAATGAACTGCTAAACATTATTGTTTCTTAAAAAGAAACCGAATGCATCTTTTGCAGATGTTCATGTGCATTACAGTGATTTTACCACAGCTAAGGGTGCTTTAATAAGTGTGAGTGAAAGTGTACTCAATATACTTGGACAGAATGTCTGTGTTTATGCATGTCTAAATCCAGGACTGGACAGAACTGTGTGTTCTGGAAGCAAACAAGAGCGTAAGCGAGGACGAGGACACCGTTCATGTGTGTGCGCGGCACGTATGGGCGGATTGTGCTGTTTGTCCTGGGCGTGTACGTGAGCAGCTCGGCTGCAGGCGGGGATGCGATTAATGCACACAGAGCCAGTTGGGGTCTCCCTGTTCCAGAGCCACAGGCGAGGAGGAGCGGCCGCAGGGGAGGAACAGGCCCCTGCTCGGACAGCCATGTGGCAGGGCTGCTGCTCCCAGGACTGGGCCCTTGGCAAGGCTGGCCAGGGAGGGATGGGACAGAGAGCCTGTGGCTCCACCAGCCCAGTTCCCCAGCAGGGCAGTGGAACAGACGCCAAAGTCTGTAATTTTGATGTGTCCATCTTTATCAAGCATTAAGTTCTCCAACTGGGCAGAAAAGAAAAGAGTGTGGATTTGCTGACTTTTTGAAAACAACAAATACAGAACTTGGTAGTTAACAAAGCTTAGCTCTTTTCAAATTTGCGTCAAATTAGCACTTTGAATTGATTGTATGCATTTCATTTATAGAAAGCTTGAATTAATTTATGACTGACATAAAAGTGTATTTTCCTTCCTTTTTCATTAAAGCATCTTAATAATACAACGAACACATACTGTATGGCTTTTACACGTGTTGACTTCATGATTAATAACATAAATTCCAAAAAATAAAAATACTTGTAATAGTACCTACTCGTGTTAGTACTTGTACCTAAAGTGTACTGGTATCCTTAATTCATGATGTTTAATAATGTCTTTTAAAAAAAGTGTATAAAAAGTAGACAACTACATGGATAATATATTTATTCCCTGGAAGTGGAAAGAAACTTCAAGCCACATTAATTTAACCTTTTAATTTTAATGGCTAAGCTGTTTGTCCAAGTTTCTTGGCACTTCCACAACTGGCTTGGTCCAAGGCTGCGAGCAAAACACTGTGTCATCATCCACAGCCGCCAGAGTTTGATGTTTCCAAAAACCAAAGAAAAAAGCCACAAACTCTAGAGCTTTTAATTACATTTTCCACGTCCCATGACATACACTTAGATAAAGGCATCGTGACAAAACAAAACCTCTCTAAATATATGAATTCTTTCCCCTTTTTCTGTTTACCTTCAGATCCCGGTACACAATCTTGGCAGAGTGCAGGTAGTCGAGGGCGGAAACGATCTCGGCGCCGTAGAAGCGCGTGCGGTCCTCGGAGAACACCCGTTCTCTCGACAAATGGAAAAACAGCTGCAGGGTAAACAGCAGGGACAGGATTGCAATAATTACTGATTTATTGGAGGAAATTAACACAACACAAACGGCCTCACATCGCCATATTGAGATGATAGATGGCGAGGCCCTCGGAGGACGCCCAGCGAACCCAGACAGCAGCTGGCACATCATCCCCGGCTTTCCAGAGACAGGCCGGCGCGGCCTGTTAAATCAGCATTTTAATCAATACACCAATCTTGTTAAAGGCAGCGCTGCGTGCTCATGGGCTAACGCTCCATTAAAGAGGCAGGAGCGCCCTGTCCCCTGCAATCATCTCTGCCGTATCTTTTATGGAGTGCCCCGCACTTCCTCTTCCCTCCCGAGTCAGATGTCAAGGGTTTCTGACAACTGTCTGGCCCTTGGCTCCACTTGAACCCGGCTTATAGAAATTACCCAGAAGCCCAATGATTAGAGTCTGTATATTAATTGCTGTGGGATGTTTGAATATGGCTGTCCGGGGAGAGCTAACGGCTCCGTTGATCAGCCGGAGGAGGGGGTAAGCGGGTGGCGTGCCGGGGACCAGGGTGGCTGAGGACAGGTGTGCCTTCATCAGAGCACTGGCAGCTGTGAATGTGGCGAGGCTGAAAGGGGAGAGACTGATGGGCTCTGCGCAGCATGTGGAGGTTAGAGGCTCTGGCTGGTCCAGGCAGTGGGAGCAGGTGACATTGCAGGCTGAGGGAATGAGAGCGAGATTGCCGCCTCTCTGATTAAACAGCACCGTTGGTGGTGGAATTTCCTTTATCAAAACTTAAGCCCCTCAAGATGGAATCCTGCGCTCTGCCATATCAATAGAGTGACGCTGTCAAACTTCTACCAAGCACATCCTGAGCAACTACAAGCATTGAACTAAACGTACAACACTACTACAATCATTTTGACTATTTATATCAGTTTGACTGACATTTTAAACAATATTCACACTTTTCTACAAGCAATTGGTTGTTTAATATCGAGTCTGCTGATAAATGGCACCATTTGGTAAGCACTACTACAATCAACAACAAACTGTGTTCACACTTAAAACTTTATACCTTGTTTGCATAATTCCTCAACTTTTTATGTAACACAATAATTTTCAAGTGAAATTTAAGTTACACCTAGTCCAAATATTTGTTGCTATTGTTTTAATAGTCATTTTACATTTTTTATCCATTTAGGCAGCAAAACAAATGTGCATAAAATAATTATAATACATGTCTAACCATTTAGATCGCAAAACAATAATATAAAGTATTGCATAAAATAATGGAATAAATAAAAATATATGTGTTGCTATTGATTTAATATTAATTTTGTTTTTATCCATTTACAGTAGGTTGCAAAACAAATGTGCATAAAATAATACATTTCTAAACATTTAGATTGCAATATAACTGTATAAAATGATGTGAGAAATAGTAATAATAATAATTATTATTATTTTATTATTTTTAAACACAATTAAAAAAAATTGGTTCTGAATATCAGTTATTAGACACTAAAGTATAATTATTATCTGCTGTTAATAATATTGGATGATAATTTTGCTACTTGTTACATTTTTCCCAAAGGTTAAGAGAAAGTCTCTTTAAACTGTGGATGCATCACAAGATATGATCTTGCACTTAACTTTTCTCTGATAACAGATTAACATTTTTAGCTCAGCACAGCCTCACAGTCAGTAAACAGATATTAGTGACGACATTACTACAGAAATAGACTGTCTGCCAACACAGACAAAAGACAGACATAAAATACAAATGCAGACACACACGTACCTCTCCTCCATTGACATACTCCATCACGAAGCATAGGCGGTCTTTTGTTTGGAACGAGTACTTCAAAGACTGAAACAGCAGGTGGATACACCATTAGAGGAAAAACAAAAGCAAAAAAACCCCCACAAAACTAAAACAAACACAATGTGAGAGACGCTCATCAAAATGTATGCAATGAGAGAAACGTTTGTCTCAAGAGAAAATGAAAGAAGCGTTTTTGAAAAGATTTACTCTTTCTCGCAGGCCTTGATGCTAACTTTGAGCGAAGGTGAAGTTTACGAGGGAACACCAGCTTGACTGACAGTGGTAAATTGTTTTGCTAAACCTGCTGTGTATGTTGCGTGGCATACAACAGCATCTGGAGTGTCAGAAAATTACCTCTCACTGGCGACTTCTCAACAGATGCATAGCTACATTTAGGCCGCTAATTTATTACAGTTTATTCTCTACATTATAATGAGGCTCCAGGGAAAAGCCATTCATATATTCAAAAGCACTAGGAGCTTTAAGGTCTCTGTAAATGCACTCTGAATGATAGTTCATTATAAAACGTGCACTCACAGTTAAAAAAGGATGCCTCGTGTTTTTTAGTACTCTGCTTTCTGTAAGCGTGTGGGCCACTTCGTCCTACGGGAAGAAAGAGAAGCTGGATCATGAATTGTGTTTTCTCAAGATAAACCGTGTTTGCTTACAGTGCATGTGCACAGTGAAGTCATGGATTTACTGAGGATTTAATTACAAAGCTTCTCAAAAAAGCATGGGATTAAAATTACACTTTTATAACTACGTTAAATTGTCATTAACCATAACTCTGTTATCTAAACCTAGATAAATAACGTACAGCACAAAATGCCTTATCCTTAATGAAATCAAATTTCTCATCTTCAAATTTTTTCAAAAAAATATTCCTCATGATTCTTACCTTTGCTATAATAACCTCTTTCTTTAAAATTTTCATTGCATAATATTTCCCGCTGGCCTTCTCCCTTACGAGAATGACTTTTCCAAAAGTGCCTTTTCCCAATAATTTTAAGTAGTCAAAGTCATTCATTGTCTGCAAAAAAAGAAAAAAGCAATAAATTGTCAGACTTACTGAAATGCAGTGCATATAATTGGGGTCTATGTAACTCAATCAGAATACGTCCACATCTCACATCTCTGCTGCAGGGATGTAATCCTGCTGCTTAGAGACTTCACTGCCACCAAAACACTGACATGTTTGTACATTAGCTTGTTGTTTAAAATGATGAAACTCCCAGAAATACACTGCCTTAAAAGACATTATCGAGGGAGTTTCCTACTTTTGTGCAATTGAGTCATATGGTCTGTTTCATATACTGTATCCTGAATCTGCAGGGCTGCAGCGTAACTGCAGCTGTAGGCGTGCATTGAGCTTTCACACTGACAGCGGAGTGATTTCTAGGTTACTACATTGAGAATTTCTTGAATCAATTATAAAACGGTTATTTGGGAGTGTGCCAGAACAAACCTTGATTATCATGAGATCCAATTTACATGAGGAGGGGATCAAATTTAAGTGACAGAACCCAAACACTAAAGATCAGCTACAAACTGCTTAAATCATCTGGAATCGAACAATGGCTGAGAAGTTTTTCACAACTTTATATTGCTTGTATAGCAAAAGATCATGTTGATAAACAGGTTTATAGTGCATTTTCATTGTCTCTGCTGCTTAGTTCATCATGTAATGTTGGGTTCAGCATCCAAACTCTACTATCAGGCACAGAAACAGGCCATAAATGAATAGTTCACCCAACAATGAAAATCTGTAGAAAATTTACTGAAAATTCACTGGTGGAAGCGTCATTACAGACTATGGAGTCGTATTTTGGCCAGAAGCGACAGTTTAAAGTTAAATCGCCCTGATGGATGTGTTCATTAAAAACACACAAGACATTAATTGATGGACTGAAGTCATGTGGATTACTTGTGGATTATTGTGATATTTTTATCAGCTGTTTGCACTCTCATTCTGACGGCACCCATTCACTGCAGAGGATACATCCAAGTGTCGTAATGCTAAATTTCTCCAAATCTGTTCCAATAAGAAAACTCTACATCTTGGATGGCCTGAGGGTGAGTAAATGTTTAGCCAGTTTTCATTTTTAAGTGAACTATTCTTTTAATTCCTTGAACTATTTGCTGATTTGTGCCATTCAGCTTCCTAATGTCCCAGGCTTATGATGTCTGCAGCAAACATCAAAATCTGTATTTGAAGGCACCTTGCGTTTGTGATGGCTGATAGATGTGTCCATCTCCTCCTCTCCCATGTTGTCTATCTGTGAGGTGGGACTACACTGGATACGTTCCTCTTCCTGTCTTTGGAGTTTATCTGCCACCATCTGGATCGCCTCTGCCCACTCATCCCTTTGGAAACACACACAAAGCCATTTATTAAAACAAAAAAACACTTCTTCATACTTCAAGAATACACTTGAGACACACTAAACTAACACATGGTTCACTTATAAATGTAAACTGAAATGTGAATGTGCCCTTTTTACTTTGTTGAAGACACCAGGCCAGACCATCCGAGTAATTCACAAGGCCGTTCTCACTAGGTGACGGTATAATCTAATATGAGTGGGGAAGCCGCCCCTCTCTGCGAATAGTGTCTCCCTCCATTGAGTTTTCATTTGTCGTGCAGCACAACATCTGTTGTGAAGAATCAGTGGTGCATTCATGTTTTTGAGCACGTGTTAGTTTAATAATGATGGATTCATCTGAGCGAAGCTAGCAGTTTCTCACTATTTCACAGAAGCGGAAGAAGCGGAGATGTGGTATAGCACAGTACTACAAGTATACAGTGGTATATAATAATATCATAATTTATCAAATTTATCAACCCGGCTTAAACAACATCTCCTAGCCTGCCCAGTCTAGCTATGCTGGTCTATTTTGATGGTTTGAGAAGAGTATTAGAGGAATTTGCAAGAATTGCAAGAATTCTGAATGAAAACTGATATGTACATATATACACACATACATCATGTTCAAAAGTTGATCAGTAAGATATTTAAGAATTCATACTTTTTATTCAGCAAGCATGCATTAAGTTTTAAAAAGTGATAATAATAATAAATGTTTCTTGAGCAGCAACTCAGCATATTAGAATGATTTCTGAAAGATCATGAGACACTGAAGACTGGAGTAATGGCTGCTGAATTTACCGTATTTGTGATAATTTAAATGCAGCCTTGGTGAGCATAACTACTTTAAAGACATGAAGAAATCATACCGACCCCAAATGTTTGAACAGCAATGTATGCTACTAGGTGGAATAAATAAAGTCATAACAAATGTGCTGAATGGTACATTGGTCATTGTGTGATTTGAACTATATTACTTGGTGGAACAATTATTTATTACAATTATTATTAATAATAAATCGTTTTTCTGTTGCAACTGCTTCTTACAGTGAAGTTCACGTGCATTACGTGTCATCCAAAATGAACTGAATGTTTTAAAGGGGTCCTATTATGCTTTTCACTTTTTGAATTTTAGTCAGTGTGTAGTGTGTATGTTTGGGCATAATAAAGATCTACAAAGTAACAAATCTCAAAGTCCACTCCAAAGGGAGATATTTAGTTTAAAAAAAAATCCCTTTTCAATAACTACAACGAACGGTTTGGACTACAGCGTTGTTTTCCGGGGTATTGTGATGTCACAAAGCGGTCCATTAGAATATCATTAAAATAATTCCCGCCTACGGAAATTCTAATGGTTGGGGGGTGGGGAGGGGCGAGGTCGTGGTTAGAACGCTTGGTTGAGTGCATCAGAGTTGCACCACATTCCAGAGTTAGTGCATCAGAGAAAACGAAGAAGAAGAAGAGCTGCTGTAGCGTCAAGTTTTCACCATGTCGAAGAAACGCGTTTTTTTTTTTCCATAAATTGCTGACAGTACAATACTGAACAATGATGTAATCTGCAGAATTTACACTTCAATTATGAGACTATGGTATAAATAAATTCAACTGTATAACAGTTTCACTGCAATTCATGTTATAATGTTAGAATTAAAGAACAATAAACATAATACATATTACCGTTGCACTTATCTGTACATAGTAAATGCACTTATGTTTAAGCGGTTGTTGACATCAGGATCGCCTCTGCCCACTCATCCCTTTGGAAACACACACAAAGCCATTTATTAAAACAAAAAAACACTTCTTCATACTTCAAGAATACACTTGAGACACACTAAACTAACACATGGTTCACTTATAAATGTAAACTGAAATGTGAATGTGCCCTTTTTACTTTGTTGAAGACACCAGGCCAGACCATCCGAGTAATTCACAAGGCCGTTCTCACTAGGTGACGGTATAATCTAATATGAGTGGGGAAGCCGCCCCTCTCTGCGAATAGTGTCTCCCTCCATTGAGTTTTCATTTGTCGTGCAGCACAACATCTGTTGTGAAGAATCAGTGGTGCATTCATGTTTTTGAGCACGTGTTAGTTTAATAATGATGGATTCATCTGAGCGAAGCTAGCAGTTTCTCACTATTTCACAGAAGCGGAGAGTAGGGCTATGTGGTATAGCACAGTACTACAAGTATACAGTGGTATATAATAATATCATAATTTATCAAATTTTGGTACCCGGCTTAAACAACATCTCCTAGCCTGCCCAGTCTAGCTATGCTGGTCTATTTTGATGGTTTGAGAAGAGTATTAGAGGAATTTGCAAGAATTGCAAGAATTCTGAATGAAAACTGATATGTACATATATACACACATACATCATGTTCAAAAGTTGATCAGTAAGATATTTAAGAATTCATACTTTTTATTCAGCAAGCATGCATTAAGTTTTAAAAAGTGATAATAATAATAAATGTTTCTTGAGCAGCAACTCAGCATATTAGAATGATTTCTGAAAGATCATGAGACACTGAAGACTGGAGTAATGGCTGCTGAATTTACCGTATTTGTGATAATTTAAATGCAGCCTTGGTGAGCATAACTACTTTAAAGACATGAAGAAATCATACCGACCCCAAATGTTTGAACAGCAATGTATGCTACTAGGTGGAATAAATAAAGTCATAACAAATGTGCTGAATGGTACATTGGTCATTGTGTGATTTGAACTATATTACTTGGTGGAACAATTATTTATTACAATTATTATTAATAATAAATCGTTTTTCTGTTGCAACTGCTTCTTACAGTGAAGTTCACGTGCATTACGTGTCATCCAAAATGAACTGAATGTTTTAAAGGGGTCCTATTATGCTTTTCACTTTTTGAATTTTAGTCAGTGTGTAGTGTGTATGTTTGGGCATAA